GGCATTCCTCTAAATTTAACATTAATCACAGTAGCGCTGAAGAATTTAAAGCAAGAGGATGTTTGATGCATGCTGATCCAAGCTAAGAGTTATATAAAAGCACAACCTCCTAGGCATTTCATTAAGTTACAGTAGTTCTAGATTAGCCAGAACAGAGACTGCAACTTTAACAGTAGATTGTTTCACTTTTGTTGCTTTTCAGCCCACTGCTAGGCTGCTTTATCTAGTAGTTTTAAAATTCCTGAATTCTGAAAACAAAATGCAGAGTGGCATCTTAAAATACAGGTCTAATACAATAAACGAGGAAGGGGGAGAGTCTGATATGCACTAGAAAGTCTTGAGTAATGGCAATGTTTGTATACATACACAGAAAAAAAAATACACCTCAAGTTTTTGTGATAGCACAAAAAATTACCGAACACGTTGTCTGACATGGATTGAAAAATCCACGTCTTTTACCCCTAACTGATTTTAGCAGTAAATTCTGACTTCTGTTATAATTTGGCAGCGTACCATGACTCAGGTTTGCAAAAGGAGCATTTACACAAAGGTCTACAAATTACCTGCTCCATCAGGTGCAGCTTTTTAAGCTCTCTCTAAAGAGACCTATTAGTGCACTTAATGTCCAAAGCACATTGTATAAAACGTGTGGGCCAAACAAGCTATTACCCCGTCTGCCTGGAAAAATAATTCTTCAGACTCCATCCTCCCAATGAGAGATATGGATTGCTGCTGCAGTAGGATGTCGTTTTCTTTTCAGTTTTTACTTAACAAACAGGTGTTTCTCAACTAACCAGGAAAAAACATGGAGAACAAAAACTGTCATGTCAGAAACAGTAAAAAAAAAAGTCTGTCCATCCTTGGAAGGGCTGCAGCAACAAAGAGAACACCTGGAGGAAGTATTCTCATGATTTTTTATAGCAAATAAAGGGTAAAGCTATCTTTAAATAGAGAATTTAATATAGCTAATCACTTCCTAAAAAAGAAACACTACATTAGACATTTTAAGTAGTTTTCACTTAAGAACACAGAAATATGAAAGCTTTTTGGTGCAAAACTTAGATAAAGCAGTTACTTCCATATGGAAAGAGGGAAAATTGTGGCTTTTGAGTAACATGAATTAAGCTCTTCAAGCTGTACACAATTCTAAACGTATGGCAGCGATATGATTTCAAAGTGTGTGATGTTTACAGCTGGCTTCCCCCTCCCCGCCCTCTCTCCACAGCTGCTCAGCATCGTTCTCACAGTTCATGCTGTTGAAAACAACCAGGCTGTAACTTTTAGGGAAGCACTTCTTGCTGAAGATGAAGCTATAGGCTTTTAAATCAGAGGCTATCAAAACAGGTTTCATGACATTTATAGTTGGGCTTGCAATCACACTCATAAGTCAGCTGTTCTTTTGCTTTTGGAAGCTGGAACTTCCAACTAGAAGAAAATTATTGCTAGGGAGAGGCTTCATTAGGCACTAATCTCATGGGACAGCACAGATAAAAATGTGACATCTTTTACACATGTATCTGCAAATCTGAATACTGAAGTCAGACACAATGGGGTTTCTTCTCATTGTAAGCAGTTGATTTAGGACAATATTCATCTTGTTTTCCAGGCACAAGATAAACCAGAAATAGGAGTCACCCTAACACAGTTGCCATTTGAGCAATTTGGCTGTCAGTGAACATCTGGTTCTTGAAGACAAATGAAGTGTGTAAAGGAGACATCATGTATGCTTACAGGAAAATACAAGTATGTAAGAAAAATATTTTATTCAAGTTATTTCAAGCATTTCCTAACATTTAACAAAGTAACAGAGGGTCAAAAGAGCCTCTGGAAAAAAATGGGATTAAGCTATGTCTAGTAATAGTTAATGTAGTCGTATTTCACAGCCTATGTGCACATACTTAGTTTACTGAGCCCTATGTTATTAAATTGCAATGAAAAATGAAAATTGTAGACAGATCATATATTCAGTAGAGTTGGTAACTTGAATTTCGTAGTAAGATGTCACTGAAGTTTATATTTATTTACAATCATTTTCAGGGCTAATTTCCTTACCAACCATAAAGAAACAAGCTGATGAATGTTACTTTAGTTATGAAGCTCAAGTTTGAAAGCTAAGTTAGTCTTTTATCAAAGTACACCATTACTGTGAAGAAAAAAAAAAAAGTTACTCTTTAAGGTGCAGTCCCTTTCCAACTGGATGCTAGGGAAATACTGAGGATGGAATTTACTTAGACACGTCCTATTACATTCTACAGTGACTGAAAGCACGATATTTCAACAACTGTAGCAGTGCCTCCTTGGTTTTAATTCTGCAGATAAAGCTGAAGCCTATAGCAGCTATGAAAGTGCACTACACAGACCTCAGGATTAGTTTGTTTTTAACCCGCACAAACACAGTAACAAGTGTGCAAGGCTCCCTGCTCCATGGCCCAGCACGGCAGAACTGCCCCTGCTGCAGGAGGCCGCAGATCTGGAGCCCCAGCCCGGTCCGGCAGCGGCGGTGCCGGCCTGCACCCCGAAACAGAGCTTGGCAAGGGCTGCCTCGTGCTGTGACACACAGTTTAAGCATGGAGCAACACCAAAGGCCTTTGAAACACGGACACGAGTTGAAAGCTGAGGCCCCAGTGCTAAAAGCAGCTCACTCATGGCACTTGCCGGTCATTGGAAAAACACAGCCTTGAGAGCTGGGAAAGGACTGCTTTTGCTTCAGGAAAATAAACAGCAGCTAAGCAAAGTAATAAAAATAAAAGCCAAGCCCTCTGAGTAACAGCATAAACCCTCTACAACAGGCAGGAGGGAAAGTGACCCCATCTTCATACGGGAGTACCTTAAAAATTAGCATGAAAGGTGCAAGAAAAGCAAGGGACACCATATGTGACATGTTAAGACTGCCTCTCCACCTTAATTGGAAGGCTGAGTATGATTTAGCAGAGTTAGGCAAAACTCAGTCCCATAAAAACACTAGGAGAGGACTTAAAATCACATTTTAGAAGCAAGACAATGGAGAGTTAAAAACACATATATCCAAACTTTGTACATATTTTTTGAACGTTAAAGAAAACACATCTTTGAATTGAGTTTCTAGGAATAAGTGCTTCTATTTGAAAAGCTTCTACTTTAACATTAGAGGGCAAAACCCCAAAGTGCATCTTCTATAAAAGACAATTAAGCAAGAATATCCTTAGCTGAACAACACAAAAGTACCGAAAAGGTACTATAAGCATCAGTGAAGCAGCCTTAAGACTGTTGACTGCAATAAAAAGTTACTGGCCTTGTTGAGCTCTCTTCTAATTTTCTCCGGACCAAACTGATCAAGGAAACGTCTGAAATGAAATGCATCTATAGCAACGATTTCGGTGTAGCGTCGCTGCCATTCATCCCTAAAATTGGAGGGAGGACAAAAGTGGATGACAGTAAAATTAGTTGTTTAGTATTGGCCACATAAGTAAGATCTCAAGTAAGCAACTCCCTGCAGAGCTTCTCTGCTAATAGAAGCCAGGGAGGTGAAGCCCACAGCGGTCATTGGAGCAGGGTTTTTGGGGAGTGGGGAGGAAGAAGCAGCAGCAGCATCAGGAAAGAGACAGAAGGCTCCCAATATAAGTAAAAATACCCTGGCTCTACTTCAAACATTGGAGTAGAAATGTGAAAGAAAATCTAATTAAACTGCACTGTTTATTAGCTACAAAGGAACACTGCAAGGTTAGGAAAAAGGCACTTTGGCTCTGCCTTCTTCCAATATTTATAGGACAGTACACTGCATATATTTCGAAAGAGCTCATTTCTCCTCAGCTTGTCTTTTTCCCACAGCAAATGCATAATTCTATGTATACTGTATAACAACATTGTTGAATAAAAAAAAGAACTCTAGGCTTTCAATTGAGATTTATTAAATTAAATCTTAGTTTGCCACGCAAGTGTCACTGGCAGTGTGACCCTCAAGGTATCACTGTCAAACTTCTCATGAGGCTCTATCAAGCCCCACGTTAGTCAATACATTAGCAAAATTTCAAATTAAAAATACCTCGAGGTTGTTAGTTTAAGAACAACACATTGGCAGATACCACAATCGGCATCAAGCAAGCAGGGAATCTTGTTGATTAACTTCAGGTAAGTTATTGAAGACAGCAGGAGCAAACAAAAGTTTTCTATCAGGAGAATGGCTAGGAAATACTCAAGCCACCCATTTTTCAAAATTTTAGACAGTTACTTATTTCTTCAGCTGATATTTTTATGTGAAACTTTACCTTGGAGTCTTATCTTCATGGCTTCTTGCCCACCTGTAGGTTTCTGCATAGCCTGTGTATTCACTGTACTGCTCAGTACCTGAAATGCAAACAACATTCTCATTACATAAAAAGAATGTAAATATTTTTCCTCTTAGCAAAGAACCTTTCACAGCAATCACTGTTTCTCTGAACAAATGTGCAATGCTTTCAGGAGCATCGGCAGAAGCTGGAGCTTCCTATCTGCATGGGGATATAAGTCTTCCCATAACCAGCACACGCTTCTTTTCCACAGATGATAGCCAGCATCCATCACAGAACACTGCAAACACAAATCTCTTACACACGCTGTACCGTGCACACAGCACGGCTGGAAGATAATTCTCGACTTTGCCACTCCAGAGATGGACAGCTTCTCAACAAAAGGCCTTTTGTCATGGAAGTTTTACAGATTAATACCTGATTAAGAAAGAGCAGGTGCCTTCCCTTCACCAAGATCTTGTTTTTCTTAGATTCAGGCGGATAAAAAGAGATTTCTCAAACATATCAAGGAGCAAACTTGAGGAAAGCTCCAGGTAAGCTTTCCCCAGATGCAGCAACGGGGCCCTGTAGCAAAGGAAGGCTACGCAGAGCAGCAAGAGCCTTCTCAGCTTTAACGATGCCGTGGTCATCTCCAACTCTCAGCCTTCAAAACTGAAGGCAACTCCAGAGCGTTTGACAGAAAGGCATGTTATTAACCTTCAGCATTCACTCTGAAATACTGGCTGGAGCCATGCAGGGATAAGGAAAGAAATTCTTAAGCAAATCATTTATAAACAGCCCAGGCTCATGACATGACAAGTTATTAATTAGCACAACTCAAACCTAGAAGCATCTTTGAGGCTACTACCTGCAAACACGATAATAAAAGAGTCACTCTATTATTCAAAACATGGCAACACTGCTACATCACAGCTTAGCTAAGAGCTGAGATGACAGCTCTAGGAAACACGAGGAGAAAACATAAAAAGTGGTTTTCGCGGGCTGTACATTCCCACAGAACAGTTTTCTTTTTAAAAAGCTTAACCCCAAACCCATAAAGCTGAAGAAAAGCCTTGTGGCCAGGTATTAAGGGATGAAAGAAATTAAACTATTAAAATCTCTAATAATTTTAGCTATTACACAGTAGTGTCCAAGCTATTACTTGGATGTTTATCCCAAGACCAAGAAGGGGAGCATTTTAACTGAGCCCAAGTATCACAAGCCTTCTGCAAAAGCCCCTTCCATCCCATCTTGACAGATGTCAAGTCTCTGCTTCCAAACTTAGCAATGCACAAATGTTTCAAGGAAATACTTCTAAAGAAAAACACAAGTTTTCTCCTAGTTGTGTTCACAACAGCAGAATTATTTTTGGTTGAATTTCAAAAGCAGAGGATTGCAGGAAATACCTCATTTCGAAAATTTCAGCTCAAACAGGTACCACTTGGCACAATATCAACCAGATGAAAACTGTTAAGCAACTCCCTTATCACACAGTGGTACCTACTAGTGCTATAAATATAGCAGCAAACTGGGTTTTGGAAAGACCTGCAAGCATTCAAAATAATTGACAGCACAACAGTGTCTAACGCAAGAGTCATGCATAACACTGCATAGATGGATGAAACTAAGAATACAGCTGCTTAAATTTAATCTCAGTCTTGCAATCTGTAAATAGGAAAAAAAAAAAGTTGAACTGTCAGAAACCTACAACTATTCACTTTTAACCTCCTCTGAGGAAGAAATTTGAATGCTTGCTTTTAGGGGTCTTCAGAACAACGTAAACTGTTAAAACCATTTAAAATGATGAATGTTTTCAAAACATTTTCCCTATTTACCTAAGTTCATTTTAACTTACCAGTGCTCCTTCAAATCATGTGCTGTATTGTTAACTCATACTTTGAGTATTCCATTTATTTAGAAGATAAAATCAAACTGGGGACACACAAACTCCCCTCAAGGCTAATTTGAGAAGTTGCTACTCAAAATGAATGAGATGGTTTAAAAATAAATAAATAAATAAATAAAAATCATACCAGAAACTTCACACCAAGACTTGCCTTCCTCTTCCCCAAATTGTAAAGGCATATCACACAAGATAGAACTATGAACAGCTTAAATATTCTGAAGTCAGTCTCTTAATCAAATTATAGGCTATCAGCCTTCAGTATAGTTTTCTCGACTTGGGTAAAAATTATATTTATTGATATGCTTTGAAAAACTGTCTGAGCAAATAGTGAGAAAAGACAAACAAGGGAAATGTTTGACCTTTCCGACAGCCCTAGAGAAAACAGTCTAGGAAAACCTCAGCTCAGAAGAGCTGATTTCCTTTGGGGTCTAGCATGTGGAAAAAAAAGACAGTTAAGAAGTTGCATCAGGATAGATTAAGTGACAGCCCTACTATTAAGCTTACTTTTTAAAAAAGGTCATTGCTTTCATTCATTTTTATTAAAGTACAGCTTCCGAGGAGGAAAGCGTCAACAAACAAGCAAATATATACATAAATCAATAACAGAAGCACAAAGAAATCATACAAACTCTAAGCTCATGTCTCAAAACCAAGAGTTAATTAAAATCAATGGGCTGATAAGTGAAATAAGTGAAGCTCTGGAAAGAGGTCAGACAAAAACTGGCAGTACTTTTGCCTGTGAATCACAGAGATACAAAGCGCTACAGCTGGGGGAACGGAAGCAATACAGAATGAATCAGACTTCAAACGTTTGTGGTGAGTCTTTCTTTCCTCCCATAAAAATATAGAAAGGAGGAAAAAAAAAACGAAAACAAAAAACCAACAACCACACACACAACAAGCCACAAATACAGCACACGGTCACATTTCCATAGTTTTGAAAAGAAGCTACAAAATGAAGAAGCCCACCCAGACAAAAAGAAAAAAATATACATACACCAATCTTTCAAAAATACATTTAGTAAAACGTGCAGTAGCTACAGAAGCAGTGGAACAGTGAAATTGCCAAATGCTAGCACTCATCCATGTAAAAAGAGTTGCAATTATTACTAAAAATAAATACATGATTCTCAGTCTCCAGAATCTTACTTTTAATTTGCATAAATCTGTGTGATGTTATAAGGTACCAGGGATGGGATAACACACACGCAGGCCTACTAGCATTGCTGATGAGCCAGAAATCTAACTCTGCAGGCAGGGGGTAAGCAACACCGCTGGCACCCAATAAAAGGGCAGTACACATGAAAAACACTGGGTAGTTTTGTGCTTCTGCCCAGAAGGTTTTGTAGCCACCACAGGCCAATATGAACAGACATTTACAGGTAAGACTTAAGGGAAAGGTCCTCTTACTCTGTGTTCTTCCAACCCTTTTCCTGGGCACAATCAACAAACCAATCCAGCTAAGAAACAGCTTTTCCCACAGGGTTGACTTCCAGCAGGAGCAGCTGCCTGAACTCAGCTCCCTGCCCCGACACGGCGCTCACAAGTCTATGAAGAGGCACTGCCCAAAGCAGCAAGGACCAGCCCTTGGTCAATCCCTAACTCACAGCAGGGACCACAGCTTTATCTGCTCTTAGCCCTGCTTTTGTGTAGATGAACTCAAAAAAACCCCACCAACCCCTTGCCATAAAAAAAGTAAAATATTGATACTTAAAAACAGATATATCGGAGAAAATGGAAGTCCAGCCACTGGAGTCTCTGACATGAGGGCTCACGTTTCTGTAGGCAGATGCTGTGTTGAAGAACTTGCCTGTTTGCTTGACCAGCCCCATATTCATTACAGCAGTGATCTTAGCCAGATGCCATGCAATCACAAAGAATTGAATTTCTTTCCAATTTCTCAGGCTCTTCTGCAAATTTAAGCTACACAGTTATACCCATTAGGCCACCGAGTCAGACGCACCATAGAAAGAAGGTAATTTATCAAGAGGGTGGTGACACACAGTGGAGACTTGGCCGCAAACCAAGCTGGAGGAATGCCAGGGATGAAACGAAGATGATGGCATGGCCATTTCCATTAGAGGAGCAGAACATCTTAGCATAGATATTAATTGCAAAACACTGTAAAAAAAGTAAAACTGAAAGAATTCTACCACAGTGAAAAAGTCACCTTTACCTTTTCATCGCAAATCATTTTTTCCCAGGAGAAAGGAAGAAGCTCTTTCAAAACATTAACTTGCTCTTTCTCCCAAGCAGCTCTAACACAGACGAATAGCTGTGCTCTACTTTTACCTTCCCCAAAAGAGTCTCATGCAAAGGACAAAACTTTAATATGTTAATCCTATTACAGTCTCATACCCACGGCAGAAATAAGGCCTGGCCAAGAATTTTCTGACTCAGTTTAAATTAATCACCAAAGCCCATTTGTCAAAAAGTTTTCACAGAAAGGCACAGAAGTTTTTAGAAAGATTACCAAGGTCAAGAGTGAAACCAAGACATGCTCTGCCCACCACCGCCGATGGCTCCGTGGGCACGGGAAGGTCGGCAGATCCACGTTGCGGTTCCTGCCGGGTGGGTAGGAGCGCTGCCCGCGGGCTGCGGCCTGGGCTCTGCACCCCTGCCTGCTGAGGCAGCTCGGGTAACTAAACGCAACATGGTTTTACTACAGCAATCTGAATAATACAAACCATACATAATCTCTTATAATATTTGCCTAGAGGATTTCTCTGGTCAGATATTTCTTCATAGCTATTGCTTACAGTAAATAAATCATATCCACTTTATTTTTCTGTCAGGAAGCACGCAGCTGCTCCCTGCGTTCCCGGGTGTAGAACAGACACACACAGCATTATCTGGGCCTCTCTAACCTTTTAACAGTGAATTAGCTGTTTATTATCCATTTAGGTGGATTAAAAACATTCCAAATGTTAAGACAGAGGTGGAAACAAAAGGCAAAATACTCTGAGTGAAGCACTGGACAGACAGCACATCTTCATACACAGCCTCACAACATAATCTGAAAAAGCATTTGGTATAAAAATTTTGTTTAATTGGCAGTCAAAAGAAACATATAAGATACAAGATAAATATTCTCAGATACATTTACTGACTTTAAATCCTTTTTAATGAATACTGCCTTTCTCCATTTCCTCCTCTATTTGGTAACTAGAAGCCAGTTGCTCTTCTCACACACAAGCTTTCAATCACACTGATCTCATCAGGTCATCCCAGTGGCAGAGGGAACAGAATCCCCCCTGCTTTCAGCACAACAGAAGCATAAGCTATGAGCTGGTAACTGCACCCTTTACTTACACCACCCTAGGGTATCCTTTAGTTAGAGCTAGAAATGCTGCGACTTCAATCACACAAACATAGAAAATATATACGATGAAGAAGTTTTATGACATTTGACTGCTTGCTGTCATCTGTTTCTTTTGTTTTTAAAAAATTCCTTCACAAATCTTCTATTGGAACAGAGATCCTGTAATTCTTAGGAGGTGAATACTCGTTAGGAGTACCTTTAGGACAAGGGTACTCCCAACACCTTAAACATGTAAGTTCAGTTTGAAATAGATGTACACGCACACACACACAACATAAAACCGGAATGATATGTGAAACACCTTCCACAAAGACTAACCTGTGATGATAAGACATTCATTGTGATCCAAGACTTCAGTGATGAGCCTAGATACAATCAGTTCTGGGTTAATTAAAAAGCGAATTTCTTCTTGTACTAGTCCTGCCCCAGTGACACCACCTCCAACAAAACGGTTTGCAAAATCAACCTAACAAAAAATATATTCAGGAAGATTATAAGATAAGCAAACACTGTAATATCCTTTCATTTAGCTAGGTAAAGAGAGTCCCACACATATTTCAACACTGTTCTGCTATACTTTCGTTTAGCTGCTATTACTTGAAAATAAAAGCAGCAGGACAGTGCTTTTCATTTGTCCTTTTCTTCTGAGACAATGTAAAATTAGAAAATGGAAACATTTTAAAGCAAAGTACAGTTGTGTATCTCAAATGCCTTAGATGTAAGTTTTCTGTTTTTTTTTTTTTTGGGTATATGTAGAGCATGTATTTAGGATTTATTTCAATAAATGCAAAAAGAGTAAACAGCAAATTACAATATTCTCTTCCTGAGTTGTACAGACTCTAATCACAAGCTTCTGCCCCAGCTGTCTACCCTGAAGCATTTTCGCCCCTGTATCAGCTGTTCTGTACCTAGAAATAATTTTTCATAAATTCTGCTTGAAATGCACTTGTACAAGGCAAGTCACTTTGATCATTAAAATTTCTGCCCGAAAGGAAGCACCTCGGGACTAGCTTTTGCAGCCATAGTACATATTTTACAAGTGATAAAAGAGTAATGATGGCAACAATAAATGCTACCCACCAGGCAGGGCTGCACCCATAGGCCCTGATTACCCTTAAGGACACATCTGGAGCACCCTCTGTCCTGGGGCACAGGAGCTCCCCCTAACACCATGGGACGCGGGGCCATGTCCAGCCTTGTCCTGCCCTCTGCCGATCCCGACCTCCTGACCAGGCTCCAGCTGCGATCCCAGGGAGGCGACTCGTCCCCTCAGGTCTATGCAGGGACAGAGCTGGCACCGAGCCCGGCTGCCGACCCTTTGTCCGGGTCCTCTCCCCGGGGGAGCAGCCCTGCTCGTGCTCCCTGCTGCAAGGGAGCCCTTTGGTGCACCCGGACGCTTGGTTTGCTTGATAAGGCTTGGAATGGCCAGAAGGGAAAATATCAGTCCCCAGGCAATATTTATTTCTACTGAGAGCTTCTGAAATGCAAACAGAGCAGGTGACGGCATAATTTAAACTTCTAAAAGTTAGAGGTAGCTGGATTAGGAGGCAGTAGAAAAATGAATACTGCTGAGCATTTGCTGAGTTTATAATAATTTCAGTATGTTTTGGCTGCTTAATTTTATAAGGCCATGAGATTAGGGAAAAAAAATGAACAAACAGCTGAGCACTTCAAGTTTAGGACTTCCTCCCTGCTCACAAGCAATTTTTGACCTTTGCTACTTGGATGTCAACCAGGATATTTAAGTAACTTATTCTAGTATTTGTCCTACAGTAATACCTACAGAGAGATCCCCATTACCTCAACTGCCCTACAGGCACAAAGCACAACTGACAGTCCTTGTGAAAAACATAAGTCTATTTTCAGCCAAAACATATAAAGCAAGTAATAGCAATAGAAAAAGAAAGATAAAAGATTACAAAAACAAGGTCACTTTTTTTTTTTTTTTTAAACTTATGAAGAGGTTTTCTTCCATTATTTACACAATAACTATCTTAGTAGAAAAAAAAATAACTTTTTACTACTCTCTGGAATGTGCCTTTTTCAGAAAAGGCTCTCTAATTTTCTCACCTCCTCTTACATTGCATCATTCATTTCCAGCTAAGAATTTTTTTTTTTTTTAATTTAACTCTGGAAGACAAACTTTAACTGTGAAATTCAAACATGTACCTTGCCATATATGGACATACAGACAAGATGTCCTTCTTATCGATCTGTTTTATAGCTGACTGGCTCCCAGACTGAAACAGTAGTGCTGGCAACAGCAAAAAAAGTCTTTTGAACTCCTGAACTGGTCACCAACAGGGGCACAAGAATCATTAAAAAAAATAAAATCTTGACAGCTCATCAAGATCATAGCCGGAACCTTGTAGCTTGTCAATCTTTGATCCTGGTTGAACCAAGAGACCTGAAGTCGTCTATGCCCTGTTCTTTCTGTCAGCTAGTTCTGTAACAGGGACATCTGCAAAACTTGAATGAACTTGGGAACTTTGTAATAAGTCTGTTGTTTTGTTTTTACACATAATATCTTACCATTTAAATAACTTAGGATTAACAAATAACTTTAAGATGCCTCATTAATTGTTACATGCTTACCTGTAGCATACCATGTCCATTGCTTTCAATAGTGCCTTCATAGGTGACATGCAATCTAGTCAGTTTTTTCTGGGACCTTATCATTGGAGAAAAGATATTGTACATGTAAAAATGATTACAGCATCTACATACTTAAATATACTTTTTAAAAGAAGAATCCATTCAAAAACATTAGCTTTTTATACTGCCTAACATAAGATGGCTAAAAGTTGATTAAATAAATGCATTTTTCATTGAGAAAGAATCTAAGGTTTAACATAGTGAACCCCTAAGCTCCTCCACATCTTTCACCATAAAACCTCAAATCTGAAATCAGAGTTCCACACTTTTCACACAGGGTTTACCACCTTAACTCGTTAACCATGCAGGAAGCTGTAACAGTCTTTCTGTGGTGGCCATCTCCCACACTTCATTTTATTCCTTGTAATTCCTGAAAACAAGGGACCATTAGCCTCAGGTCCTTTTCCCCAGTCAACCAAAAGTACCAAAGATGTGTTTCTGTTCTAAAAATTCATGCGAGACCTGCTGCCTTCTCAGGCAACAAAAAAGCTCAAAAACACAGAGCACCCAAATGGCTTCTGTCATCCTCCCACTTCCTTCCCAACTTCCCTCAGTAACAACCCATACCAAACAGTGTTTCCTGCAACCCTTCCAAGCCTCCATCAGTTCCTTAAGAATCACTATATTCTATTCCTAACAGTAATATAAGCAATTTCTTTTATTTGTTTGACTTACCTTCCCCAATCTGGAAACTCCTGGAGACTCTGCCTTGTAAATGTCACCAATCCAGTAGGTTCTACAGGCAAAACAACCCAAATATAACACATTAACTGGTACAAACTTAGGCCTTAAGTTATTTTAGCTGGTAAAATTTTAGAGCTACAATAGACATGACTCCTGGCAGAAATACAAACATTTAACTTTCCTTACAAAGCTGCTTTGTATCTTCCTCAACAGCCTATGCTCAAATTGAAAACAATTGGAATGAAGACCAAAACATTCACCTTTCTGCTTCTACTTCCTTCAATTATGCACTTTGCGTCAGCCAAAAGTACTGAAGTGGCTGTAAGACATTACCAGTGACCAGTCTGTCTCCTTTCGCAGTCTGAGTATTTTTCTTTTTCCAGATCAAGAAAAAAAAAACTGTTTTCCAAGTGATTTTCACTTAAACTGTGAGCTTCACTGAAAGGACCTGATGGCTGAGGTGACATTAAAACAAGCTGCCACTTAGGAGGAAAAAAAGTCATCTCTTGGAGACTTGGTCTATTTATTGTTCTGGCCATGACTTTACTAAAGAAAAATAAAAGGTCCTTTGGGCTACAGACATCAACCTTTTACTAGGTGATGTCATCCCAATAAAAAAAAAAATGCATTTCAGATGTAATCCTTTGCTACACTAAGCCTGCTGTACGACTTTCTTAGAAATCATATGGGTTTAAAGAAAACGAAGGACTGCTTGGTCTTCAAAAATGTACAATTTGCAGTAATCGAGCGCCTTCCCCCAAGGGCACTGTGCATATCAGTGGCGATCTTTTACAAATCAAGTATAGCACAAATATCTCAGCTTGTATAAGCTCCAGTGCATTCTGTTACAAGCAATACAATTACCATTTCTTATAAAGAGTTATGAAAGTAATTTATAGGGCTACATTACTTCGGTCTTATTAATTCATTATACAGAAAAGAACAAGAAAGGGGGTCTTTTAAAGGTACGGTGTAAATTTTTAATTCAAGATGACAGCATACAAGAATCTCATTAAATATTATTTGAAATTATAATCTTAAGAAATCTAATACAAAATACTTTCCCAGTAAGTGTACTCCCAACAGATTTCATATGAACAGGCAGGCATGTCTGCATAAATTTAGGATTTGGTTTGCATTAAAACCAAATTTGTGTCAGGACACAAATTTTTTTACTCATATACACAGATCATAATTTACTTTTGACCTTAGATATTTCATTGTACAGATATTGCTTAAAGTTGGATAACTGAAACAGCACGTAGCTACATTTAATTTGTGGTGGAAATATAAATACTGAAGACAGAGAAACAAGCAAAGGGATTTCTACTTAATAGCTTATTTCTTTTCCTAAAAAACAAATACTTCTGAAAAAACACGAAGCTGATAATGGGAAACTGTCGAGAAAAAAAAAAAGTTCTATAATTAAAGAATTGCTATAATAAGATATTGCCGCAGATGTGATGTATACTACCATAGTATAATCCCTTCCTCCCAAATACAGCACGTAAACTCTGAAACAGTTCTTTCATAGAGATGAGTAAATATTTGAGAGCTTGGAGGATGTTCAAATTAGTGGTAACAGCAGCAGATCTGATTAAATACACCAGGAAAATATCACGTTAACTTCCAAGAGTTGAGGCTATCTCACATCTTGCTAGATCGCTTCTTTTACTTTAACCTGGAAAAGCTTCACAACAGCTTTCCTTTAGGAGAATCAAAGAGGAAAAGCGCAATATTAACATAAATAAGGGAAACTCCTAAGAGTTCATAGACAATGTATTAGATGTGCATGCAACAGGAAATCTGAAACTCCATTAAGGGTTTTCAAGTGTGCAACAGAACCTAGGTAGATATCTGTATAATTACCACATATTGCTATTAATTACTACATATATTGCTAAGTTCCCCCTGCATCCTCACTCTGATACACCGCAGCAAGTGGGTGTATATATTAAGCACATGTGTGTATGCATATGTGTGTATACATACGCACACACACACTCATATAAAACAGAGAGAAAGAAATGAGAATAACCTCCACACAAAATAAAACAACAACAAACTCTGCATGCATCATCTGTAATGGGAGGAAGCTACACTAACACAAATACCAGTGTACTCAGCAGGCTGGCTCCAGTTTGAAACTTCCATCATAATGCTGCAGAGCAATTTCTAAATTTAATGAGGTTTAACTCATCCTGTACCTGTTTTATAGCTCAAAGAAACGATTAAAGGACATACTTTTTTCTGTGACTCTCCTGAAATAGCAGAAAAGTGTCTTAAGCTTCTCAGGCTTCCTTGGTGATCGTCCTTCAAACAATCTGGAAAACAAAAAGCAGAGGATGACTTAAGTGAATAGTAATTAGGCTACATAAAAATCAAGTCATAATTTGTAACTTTTTTTTCCCCCTTTTGACATATTGTAATGAGTACAACTTATGCATACAACTAAAAGACAGTGTGCCCCCATTAAAGCCAAGCACCTCAGCATTACGCAATGCAGATGCAGAGGGGCTGTGTCCAGGAGCTCCTTCCAGAGCACAGTATTAGTGCCAAGCCGCAGCCCAGCGGCCCCTTGCCATGATCCTGAACCCTAAAGCTCACCAGCAATCCTGCCCTTCACACCAGCTCTGGGGACACCCTGGGCTCTGTCAGGGACTGAAATGGCACATGCCCCAGAGCTCCCTGGCAAGCACATCTACACACTTTGCTGTGGAGTACTCTAAATTCAGAAGCACTAACTGATACCTTCAGGAAGTCTCATAAAGAATAGTTAGCAACATTCTTAACCTAAAGAAATGTTTTGTATCTGCTCATGCTCTGACATTTAAATTATTATAAGCTTTGAAGATCATGATTCTGCTCCCTAAAAATACCTAAAAAAAAAAAAACCCATCACAGATTCCTCTGAATTTCTATAGCCCCAGTACAGTATTTGCATTACACTTTGAAATCGTTCAGAGAAAAGCAGCACCCTCCGATACAATATTTGATGCAACTGGGCCTGGAAGGGACTGTTTCTACCCGAATGAAATGCAAAAACCAAGAGGCTGTTCTTGCAGGCACTGGCTTATTTTCCTTTCACCCAAGTAGACCTACGGAGTTCAAAGAGGTAGTTCAAATGAAGTAACACGTTTATTTGCAGAAACAGACTTCAAATTAACAAAAAGAAAGTAAAATGGAAAGAACAGGCAAAGTCAGGAAGGACAAGTCCCAGCAGTGTTTTTGAGGAGGAAGAGAAATCAAAAGCCACTGACCAGTTACTCAGTGTGAATCAGAATGCAATCTTCTCTACACCAATATCACTAAAGCTGAGCTGGCCTTTAGGAGTGGCAAGTTTATTCACTTGCTGAATTTCTGATGAAAACACTAAGGGAATGCCTATCTCCCTTACACTGATTCCATAATATCTAAAATATTTCAATATGATAATCCCAGGAAAGCTAGGAAGAGTTAACCGTTTTTATTAGCAACTGCCTGGCTTGCACTGAAAAAAATTTACCTGGAGCTGAAAATACATTATGTTGAGTCTTCTAGTATCCAGTATTAACAGAGAAATACAAGCAACCACTCTGCTTCAGAAGTTGCACTGTATCTAAAGAAAAATAATCCCTCGCCCCAATCCCCAAAAGCCTCTATCCACAGGGCTACTGTTGCTATTCTAGCATTCATTTGTAAAAACCTAAGCATTGAAGAGAAGCATTCCATTTTTAGCCATTAAGTGAATGTGTTTCTTAAGGTTAGCTGAAATACTTTACTGCATCATCCGTCTTCCGCCAACTTGAACATGCATTACTTAATTTAATTCCTAATAGAGTGACATGGCATTGTTATTGGCAACACATAATGGAATTTGTCTGGAAGGAAGAATAGAGAGGACTTCAGAAATAATACCCTTAGAATAGGAAGTTCACTAAAAGATGTCTGATACAGCCCTGAGGAGATAAGATTTTTTTTTTCAAAAAACAGCCTGCAAATAAAGCAACAGACGCAACATAATTTGTTTCCGTGCTTTGCAATGACAACCTGCCTTTAAAAGCAGAAAGCTTTCAGGTAAATTTAGCTTTCTAGTACTAAAATGAACTAGATTTTTTTTTCCAATATTTAAAAATTCCTGTTAAATATTTTTACTGTAGAGATTAGTTTATCCAAAATCTATGCCATGCCACAAAAGCTCTTATTTTTTAAAAAAAGCAAAAAAAAAAAAAAAAGTCTTATGCTGATTTCATTCTTGGAACGAACATTAAAATGGACTTCATGGCAGCAAACTCCAAGACAAACCATGTAGGAGAGAGAGAACAGTGGCATTCAGAAGTTAATTGCATTTTGACCTGTTTCTATATTTTTCCATTTGCAGTTTGCACATGAGCTCCATCGCCCTTCTCCTCTCAGGATTCACTTTTCCTCCTTATGACACAACATATGATGCATTTTCACTTGAAAAATCCACTACCACTCTCATTGTTAAACATACAAATTTCTTCTCTATTTTTCTCCCCCTTTTTTTTTTTGAACAGGCAACAAGTTTCCTGAACATATATTTTTCTAAAAACAATAGCTTTAAATCCACCACAAATAGCGTTTGCCTTAACTCACTTGTAAGAGGAAGACCATGTATGAGAGGCTGAATAAATTGCAAAGAGCGCCATGCCTTAGATGAATTTTTGGGTGCATTTCATATTTTTGGCTTCTATGATTTATCTTTATTAATGAGCAGATTAAAGATAGCCTTCTGCAAGCATGCTTATTATATGCCAGTTTCCAATATATAAAGGCTAGAATGTTACTTACGTATTTTCATACAGCTAGACAGAGAACTCCTTTGTCTTCAAACAGATATTCCAAGCAAAACTGCTTTACAACATTAGGAATCTGTTTTAAAGACCATTGAGATCACTGGAAAAATCCTCCTGAATTTTAATGGGTTACCAACTAACCTTAAATCCTCATAGTATGTAAGTATTTATTATGGAATTACTGATCTTAAGTCAGTTGAATGTCATGGTTTCATATGTTCTTTTAAATCTCCACAGGAACTGGATCGCAGGGACATTAACAATTCAGGAGGCTTCCATGAGCTCTACTGAAGATAGAAAGGAAAAAAAAAGGGCACAAGAGAAAACCGAGCACCAAACCCCAGCCCGTATCTATAACCATGCTTTCTTAAACACAGCGCAAAGTAACCAGGCATCTTCATGAGGGCCTACCTAAGCCCCAGGAAAAGCATGGTAATTGCAACGCCTGCATGCGGCCTAATTCTGCTCCCCTGAACTTAAATGAGGACAAAACACAGAAAAACTACAAACTCTCCACACTAGAGCCTTACTTCTGATCAAGCAGGCAATATTAGCAGAAGTTTTATTTCTGATGCAAATACTACCGTTCTGAAGTACAAAGTTACAAAGGGACATGGATGATATTTTTTTTTCTTCCATCTCTGGAACACAAATCCTATTGAAAAAATACCCCCAAACCACAAGCAGAATCCACATAATCAACTTACTGACAAGAACCACCCAGGGCCAAAAGCCATTAAACCCAATGGAAGAACTCACCCAGCTGAAGCGCACTGCGAGTGAAGCGCGAGGCCCGCTTTGCGCTCCAGTCCCGCACGCGGGACGCGCGGCTGCTGCGCACGAGGTGCTCTCCCTGCGCGCAGCTCCCTGCCCGCTCCAAAGCTCCCCAGCAAGCCCAGGCGGCACCGTGTCCCCAGGAGGACCACCGTGTCCCGCAGGAACGGGCGCAGCAGCAGCTTTACATCCTCCAACGCAAAGCCTCCGCAGAGGGCTGCAGGACACCTCGGTGCTCTCCCACGCATCAGGGAGGTATTGCCAGGGTAACTGCAGCTACACAAACTTTCCAAGCTAATATTCAGATGCTTAATTAAACTGTTTTGAAAAGAAATTCTGTATTTAAATATAAACAGATACTATGAAAGACTTAAAAGTAACTAGGGACTGCAGAAAGGTTACAAAGCAACAGTTTATATCGCTTCTTTATTGATTATTATGAAAACTTTTTTTTTATATTAGTGTTTTGCTGAGATTTTTGAAGTGGAAAGAAGTATTTTAGAAATGTGATAAATATTCTGCTTCTTTGAAGTCTGACTAGCTGCAAACTTGAAGTTTGCTTATTTTAACCTAACATTTCTACCTTAGATTTCTGCAACCAAGAACTGCCATGGGAATTTCAGCATTACTGCCCAAGCATGTTATTTCTAAGACTAACAGATGCAAAGAACATGCAGAGAAAAACACATAGAGATAAAGCACAGAGTGCTGTACAGATTTACCTCATGGCAAATTTGCAAAGTATTTAAAGTGTGCATTTCAAATTGATGATTTGATAACATTAAGTGCTACACAAAAATGACCTTGACATAAATAGAGCTTACTAGGGAAAAGCTGAAGCATCTCAAGCAAACAGTTCCAAAATATATTGCTTCTGATTAAGGGATAATGCAATACAATAGCTTACTTGCAACATTTATTTCCAAGGAGCAAAATGATTACTTGATGTTACTCCAAAAACTGGCCTCAGTAATTTTACAAGCACAGAAAGAACCATTACAATCACGCAGTTTAACCTCCCAGATAATACTAAGTACCATCTTAATGGTATTTCCATGCTCAAGCTGAATGTCCTCTGAATGCTTCTTATCAAAAGGGTACAATAATGTATTTAAACTGAAATCAAATGTCACATGCCTTCAAAAACTGACCCACCCTAGCAATCTTCAAATCCCTGCACGTGTAATTCGTACTGCATTGTGCTGTATAAACGTCCCATCCACGAGTGAGTGGCAGTCGCAGATGCTGTTTGCAAATGTGTGGTTATATAAATCAGTTACAGGCATCCCACCCAAAGGCACTTGTAAAATTAGCCCATGGAGCAAATCTGAAATGCCTTCAGCTTTCCTGCTATAGCTGAAGACCAACTGCATGGTTTCCTGCATTTTGGTAAGTTCTCAATAACGATAACACTGCATCTAAACAAATGCAAGACCTTAACAAAAAGTCGATTTTCTCCTACGAAAAGAAGCGTAAGAAAGATTTGCAAGGAAGAGGTATAGAGAGATAGACTTCCCCCAGTAAGAAGATGGAGCAGAAAGAAAAGGGAAAAGTTAAGGCAGAAGTAAAAATACAGAATAGACATTATTTTCAACCTCAAAAAAGTACTAATTGCTAAGCAGAGTATTGGTTTAATGCACAGACTGACAAAACACACAAAGAAAGAAATATCTTCATTTCTGTAGCCATTACATTCCAAACTTTAGTTCGATTGATGCAAACACACAGATGCAGAGATATAATGCTTGCAT